GATACCATGTGAGTGATATAGGAAAAAAATATTATTGAATTGTTGTTGTGTCTACATTATTACATTGATCCCCTTTTTGTGGACCTTAGAATACAATCCTTTAACAAGTAGGATATTATTTAGTATTCCTAATCCTACTCTAATACGATTGTTAAACATATTTTTATTCTAGTAGGATTTATAAACATAAAGACTGTTCTGATAGGATTGTATAAATCCATTGATATTCTAACAATATATAAGCTTAGGTTTAGAAACATATTCCTATTCTAATAGGATTGTATTGATCTATTGATATTCTAACAATATATATATAAGCTTAGGTTTAGAATTAAGTTGGAGTTAATCACTTTTGTCCATTTTTGGTTATTGCCTTTCACGATGGTTATATTTATATTTTATGGTTGAACATGTATAATAGGTATATTTATAAGTATCGTGTTTAAAGTTCTTTCTTATGATTTATATTAGAAAGTATATTTAAGAGACTCAATATTATTACTTTGGTTATGTATTAATCATTGACATAACCGAATAACTAAACCGAAAAAAGCCGAACCGAAAGAGGAAAACCAAACAAAACCAAATTTATGTTGGATCGGATTGGGTTACACTTTTTTACAAAATCAAAAACCGAAAAATTCGGTTTTTTTGGATCGGATTGGCTTACACTTTTCAGATTGGGTTACAATTTTACAAAACCAAAAAATTCAAATCGAATAGTGCAAAACCAAATCAAAAAAACGATAACCCTAGCCCCACCTCCAGCCCCTTCATCTTTCTCACACCCAATCCACCCCTCCCGCCGTCGACAACCACTTGTACCCAAACCTCTTTCTCCTTCTTTGAAACCCCATCGCGATACTATTTATCATCTTAGAACTCCCACTCCGACCCTCTTTCTTTCCCTTCGAACCTCGGTGTGTCACATTTTTCTTCTTATTATTATTTGTTGAACTTTCCATTTTTTTTCTCTTTCTTCAAGAAGCCCCCATCCCATCCTCATTTCCTTTCTATCACTAAAACCCAAAAAGAGTGATGATAGGAAAATATAGAAAAGCCATCGACTTGTTCTTGCTTCAAATTAAAATTAGTATTTACGGCAAGGGTTGAATGTGATGAACAAAGCTCTTTTAAATGTAAATCTACAATTTTTTCATCCCAAAGTAAATTATCAGCTGTTATTATTTTATTTGTTTTGATTATGTGTCTTAAAAATTGAATATTTTTGTGAGAATGGTTTTAAGATTTTGTATCTCTTTCCTCTGAAAATATGTTCTTTTTTTGAGATTATTTTTCTTATAATCATTGATTAATTCTTATTTTTTGAGATTTTTTTTTACTTTCTAAAATTGTGAATAAATAAAAAGAAACAAAAAAGAATTAAAAACAAAATCTAAATAATGTTCAATGTGACGCTGATGTGGTGCCATGTGTATCAATGACATGACGCAATGTGGAATGCACTTGCCATTGTGTGACTGGTATTATTATATTAAGGTATATTTTAATTCACTTGAAAAGAGAATAGGGGTAAATAATTACCCGTAAAGTTAACAACACTATTTATTTTTGCAGCCAAGTTCAGGGGGAATTTTATTTATTCTCTCTTTATTTAATAACACTGTTAATAATACTATCGCGTGATCATAATGTGGGGGCTTGGAGTGAAAAACTGCAAATTGGGCTGATATATGTGTGCAATTTTTTAAGGTTACAAATGAAAAGGTCAAAGCCCTCATGGAGTTGGCAGAGTTGAAGCGGGACCATCAGTTATTGCAAGAGTATGTTTCTATATCCAGTTAACTGTGTATAAACTAGGAACAACTTCATTTTTTTCTCCGTTGTTTTTCATGGTACGCTTCTCTGTCAAAGGAAGATCTTAATACCTGCCTTCTCAAAAAGGAATTATTGTGGAATTTTCCTTGAAAGATTAACTATGGGTGTTAACAATCTTTTACGATTCTGAGGCATGAAGTGGGGGTGAATAATGACATTTATTTATTTTATAGCAATAAACATGAGTTTGAACGCGAAAAACATTAGAAAGCAGGAAGGTTAGAATGTCTTCCACTATAAGCAATAGTGATGGGTTTGAACAGGAAAAACATGGGATGGTATATGGAGATGATACTATTGGTCTTTTGTAGCAATGAGACCTGGTTTAAAACAGTGATGAGAGTTTTGACCAGCATGTAAATTGGACTGCTATGCACATCCTCAAAAAAGAACAATAAATAAATTGTTGACTACTTTGCCCTTTCTTCCTTGCCCTACTTCTTAACCTATTAAAAGTTATACTTTTTCAAATTGGTTACCACTAGATGGCTAAATGTTGTAGGAAAGTTAATCAGGCCTCTAGACAAGGAAAATCTCTTGGTGAGATTGCAGTGAAAAAGACTCTTCAGGAAAAAGATGGAAGATTGAAAAATCTTCTGAAAACTTCTTATCTGAGACGCTGGACTGGTTTACAAGATTCAGATGGAAATGATGCTGACATTCATCGAGATTCTGAAGCCAACAACATGGATTTTGCAAGGTATTGTTTGAAATTTTGTTGATGCTTCTGTTACACTTAATAACTGCTTCCTACTACTGGTACACTCATAAAAGGAAGTAATGTTACAGAGAATATATTTCCTTGGTATCACATAGTTTCTCCTATATTTCTCTGTTACCACTTTTCAGGATGAAGATAGAGAATGCAACTCTAAAAGAGAGCTTAGAGAGTATGGAGCATCTAATTCGTGCAGTTAGGAGGCTTCGCCTTTCACTTTTAAAGGTAGTATTTGTTTCCTAGTTTTTGCAGAGGACTTCTTTAGAAGCCAATAATTCACTGTAAAGATAGACCGCCTCTCAGGAGAGATGAATGCATAACAAAAATTGCACTTGAGGTAGCGATCAGAAAAGATATCGCACGTTCTGTATCAATCATATAACATTGCATAGCTTAATGTTTTATTCAGTCTACTTGAGGTGATGAAAAATATATAGCTCAATCTTTGTCCTGTAAGGAAATTCCCTAAGGTTTGACCATTGCAAGTTGCTTGATGAAGTGTGTTGTATTATGTAGTTTAAAGAGCCAGCTGCATCCAAAGGTATGGAGAACTGCTCCTCGGAGTCATTGGACAATATTATTAATGAGGCAAGTCAGTTAAAAACTGCACTTGGAATCTCCCTCCCTCTTAGTTGGTCAGTGGAGGCAGATTCGGGATCATCCAGCAGATGTGTTGAAGAGGAGATGGATAACGGACACTCTACACGTGAAAACATGGACTTTGTCTCTGCTGCTGGATTTGAGATGGTTGAGCTTCTGGTGTTTGTTGCACAACTATTGAAAGAGTACAAATGTAGTTGACGCGAAGGAGGTGTTGATTAAATTGGGGTATGGTTTGGAAGAAGTTTTTTGTATAGTAACTTTGGATTTTGGAAGGTACAGAATCTATTATTGTAACATAACTAAACTATTAGAAGCTTTCTCGAGTCACTGCTCAGTTATCTTTTTTTAAACATACAGAGACATGATTTTTTGCTGGATAAATCACCATTTTTTGATGTGGACGGTGAAATTTGAAAAAGATGAGATCATTCAAAATGATAATCAAATTTACCCTTCTTCTTTTTTCTTTTTTTTTTTGTGAAATATCTTGCATGAACTTGTTATTGTTGGTACTTCCTCAATTGGATACAGAGTGTTGGAACTTCCCAGCCATTTTGTTCCTCTGTGCCACACAAAGACTTCAGACTTTGCTTGCAAATGCCATTCAGTTAAATATAATTGAAGTTAGCCAGAAAGGAAGATAACAATGTAAGATATAGCTCGTCCTAGTAGAACATTAATAAAGGTAAATAGCTAGCATTCATTTTAGACGATAAAACAAATACTTTGTTCGACTTTCAACTTTCAACTTTCAAGTGATCGACATTCTAAACTCTAAAACCCGTGTATATATATATATATTTGTGTTACGCTATAACTATATAGATGCACATTATATGTTATATATTTAACAATGACTAAATGCAATCAGCAGGGCATTTGGTCTAGTGGTATGATTCTCGCTTTGGGTGCGAGAGGTCCCGAGTTCGATTCTCGGAATACCCCAACTTTTTAAAATTTATGTAATATGCTGAGAGCTTCTAGTTAAATAGTGTTTTTTATCCCCGTATTATTACATATTTTCACTTTGATTATGCACATTTAACCTTCAATGATTTGAAGTATGCGGCTTTAATTTTTGAAGTTAAGAAAAGTTGACTATTTAACAAAACAATCATTTTAAAATATACAAATAAAATAATTCGAAGGGTTAGTGATTCTAAATGCTTGTAAAATTGTGTATGAAAAAATATGAATTTAATAAAAAATAAATGTTAAATATTTTATGGATAGAAAGTTGTTACGACATCATTAATAACCTTAAAGAGTCTGTCCATCTACTAACCTTTCAAATGTAATCGTGAATATAAAGTAGAGCAATCAGAGAAGCAACTGCTCAATTTATATAATTAAGATAATCATTTTAGTTAACTATTTATAAATTATATATAATTTTAATTTTATATACATAATTCTTCGTATTACCAATCCTTTATTTTATTTTCTAAATTTTCAATAAATTATTTTGTTAAATAGTTATGTTTTATTAACCTCAAGGACTAAAATCGATATTTCGTGAGACCTAACAATTCAATCACCCAAATACAACAAAGCTAAAATGATGTTTTTACAGAAAAAAGTTTTATATCAAGGATTTTTACATCCACCAAAAACAAAGACAAAGAAAAAATATTATAATATCAAAACTATCCGAACACATTCCAAACATGGGCGTTTGGTCTAGTGGTATGATTCTCGCTTCGGGTGCGAGAGGTCCCGAGTTCGATTCCCGGAACGCCCCATCTTTTTTTTTTCCTTCTTTCAAGGAAAGTTCACTGCTAAGGAAAATTTTATAATTCAATCTCCTTATGAGTATTTCATAATTTGATCTCCTTGAAAGTATTTTGTAAAACAATCAGCATCCATTTATATATGTTTACTGAGGTTCAAACTTATAAATTAAAATCTGGTTACATGAGGTAAGGACTAAGGAGTATCAGAATTCTATATTTGCAGATGAGAAATGACAATTCTGATCACATAACTCACAACAGGAAAATACATTTTGAGTATAACTTAAAAGATGATAATATCAAAAACAGGGCATTTGGTCTAGTGGTATGATTCTCGCTTTGGGTGCGAGAGGTCCCGAGTTCAATTCTCGGAATGCCCCAACATCAAATACAACTTTTTTCACATGCAAAATTAAGTAGACCATAAATGGCTAACCTAGCTCAATTGACTAGAGATACAAGAAAACACACTTCATAGTGTCTTTTCTGCAGTCTCAGAGTTATCATACAAATGCTATAATGTACCCTCCAAGTTGTTAACAAAGGAAGCAGATAATTTCAACTAGCACACAACCTCACTTTGTCATCTTGGATGACTTAGTGTTGACCTTATTGCAAGATTGTCTACAGGGAACATAAACAGTGGATACTTAGTCTAGTCGTATGATTCATCGGTGAAAGATTCTTAGTATTTTGTAAAAAGAATCAGCATTGAGATTGATGTTCTGAAAATTGCAGCAAGTTCATCAGTCATTTATAGAACTAAGATTCAGAAAAATAAAAAAATAGCATTCACACCTGTTCACATGCTGACAATTTAATGCCACAGGGAAATCAATATTCTGTAAATTAAAAAAAAAAAAAGACCATTTGTACAGTCCAGACCTAACTTTGATTTGTCAATGCATGTACCAAACCTTACCTAATGCTTGACTTCAAGAGCTCTTCATTGTTACCATTTTTGTAAGCTGATCTCCAGTCAACTACAAAACTCAATCGACTGTCTTCATAAAACAAAGTTTGCAGGTAAAGATTCTTTTTAATTCATGTAATGGAATGAGCACTTGAAGCTGAATATAAGAGTAAATCTAGATCTATAAGCTAACAATTAAATTAATACATCATGAATACTTGCAATGGTGCAGAGTTGGGTTCGCCTGTTCAGTTTAAAGATCTAAAACTCCAACGTTCAACATCTAACTCCCAAAAGATCCCTAAATATGTAATGTTGGACAGAAAAGTTCTCGAGTATCTCAAATATAACAAGCCATCATTTCAAATATGCTTAATGAAGTTGGTACATGGAATTGTCGTAACATCGAAGAATCATTATAGATACAAGGTCATTTACAGGTCAAGGAAGTAAACAATAACAACTGAGATCATTAATCAAGGAAGCTTTCTTAATTTCAAGTCAAAATAAGAAATGAAACGGATATCCACAGTTCATGAGCCATTTTCATTTCACTTGAGTGAAACAAAAAAGCATGAACTTCATTGTACCATGTTGCTTTGCACCCAAAATCGCATAACATGAGCTGCACCATTCCATGAAACAAGTGATAATGATATAGCTTAACAAAGAAGGTATCCAAAAGAGAACAGGAAGTAAGATAACCCAGAAAAAAGCACATGGTTAACTATCAATTCGATAATCCTTAGTTGGAGATTTTCTTTGCTTCAGCTATAACTAGAAAGATGAAGCTCAAACACGAAATGTTAATTCAGCTAACACCGGAGACCTGGCCTCATGTCGAATGACAGTTCTTAATCACTACACAGATCTCACGTCTTTTGCATTCCAGACGACCAAAGGGTTGAGTATGCTTGCATAGGATTGTAAATATAGAAGTGATAGTAACAACCAAAGCTGATAGCATCTATAGGCATTGAGAGAAGTAATCTGAGGAACTGCAGAGGCATATTATTTTAAGCAACCTTCTATATACACCTCACATCCAAATAACATGTACTCAAAGAACATTTTTTTGATAATTAAGTACTCAAGAACATTTAAGCAAGAAAATGAAGATCATATGGTGTAAAATACAGATTATTTGAATTCTATATTACAGTAAGCAATACAGTTGTGTGATCAAATAGCTGAAAAGCTAAAATACATTTGACTAAAATTCAAAGAAGACAATGTCATCGATGGGCATTTGGTCTAGTGGTATGATTCTCGCTTTGGGTGCGAGAGGTCCCGAGTTTAATTCTCGGAATGCCCCTTAATTTTATATAAGTTTTTATTCACTCTAAAATGATTTAACTTTTCAAAGGCTCAAACAATGGAGAATGCTTATTTCACCTAGAAAATTATTGCATACAATGGTACAAGCTCCAGACAACCAATATCAACTTCAAAATATTATTACCACTGAGGGACCAACAAGAGCTGGGCATTTGGTCTAGTGGTATGATTCTCGCTTTGGGTGCGAGAGGTCCCGAGTTCGATTCTCGGAATGCCCCCATCTAATACAACTTTTTAATTCATTTTACTTGCAACTCTGCTCCTTCACTCTATTTTCTAAGTGATAGTACATGCAAATTAAGCAGGGTCATTTATGTAACTAGGATTCAAAAGAAAAGAATTCACACTTGGTCACATGCTGACAATTTAATGCCACAAGGGAATCAATAATCTGTACCAAATGTTACCTAATGCTCGACTTCAAGAGCTCTTCATTGTTTCCATTTTTGTAAGTTGATCTCCAGTCAACTATAAAACTCAATCGACTTTCTTCATAAAACAAAAATCGCATATAAAGATTATATTTATTCATGTTAATGAACAACCAAATGGCATGAGCACTTGAAGCTGAATAAGGTAAATCTAGATCTATAAGCTAAAACTTAATACATCATGAATACTTGCAATAGTGCAGAGTTGGGGGCTCGCCTGTTCAGTTTACAGATCTGAAACTCCAACATTCAATATCTAACTTCCAAAAGATCCCTAAATAATTGTTGGACAGATTAGTTGGAGTATCTCAAATATCACAAGCCATCATTTCAGATATGCTTTTTTGCCATCCATTTTCAATTTGATAAAGCAGGCAAAACTTATAAGTCAATTTGGTACATGGATTTGTCGTAACATCGAAGAATCATTATGTTTGATCTATAACAAGATCATTTACGAGTCAAGGAAGTTAACAATAAAACTGAGATCATTAATCAACAACACGAATCTTCCACAAAAAAAATAAAGGAAGTTCTCTAAATTCAAGTCGAAATAAGGAACGGAACGGATATCCATAGTTCATGAACCATTTTCATTACACTTTAGTGAAACAAAGAAGCATGAACTTCATTATTTGCACCCAAAATCGCATAACATGAGCTGCACCATTCCACGAAACAAGTAATACTAATATAGCTTATAAAGAAGGTATTCAAAAGAGAACTGGAAGTAAGAGAACCCAGAAAAAGACCCATGGTTAACTATTCTTTTTGAAACTGGTAACTTTAAACCCATGGTTAACTATCAACTAGATACTCCTTGGAGGATATTTTATTTTCTTTAGCTGTAACTTGAACGATGAAGCTCAAGCATGAAATTTTAATTCAGGTAACACTGGAGACCTGGCCTCATGTCCAATGACTGTTCTTAATCACTACACAGATCTCACGGGTTTTGGTTTCCAGATGACCAAAGGGTTGAGTATGATTGCATAGGATTGTGAATATACAAGTGATAGAAGCAACCAAAGCTGATAACATCTTTAGGCATCAACAGGAGTAATCAGAGGAACTGCAGAGGCATATTATTTTAAGCAACCTTCTATATAACCCTCACATCCTAATAAGCAAAGTACTCAAGAAAATTTAAGCAAGCAAATGATGATCATATGGTGTAAAATAAGGATTATTTGAATTCTATATTACAGTAAGCAATGACAATTGTGATCAAATAGCTTACAGAGGTAAAATACATTTGACTAAAATTCAAATAAGACAATGTCAACAATGGGCATTTGGTCTAGTGGTATGATTCTCGCTTTGGGTGCGAGAGGTCCCAAGTTCGATTCTCGGAATGCCCCTTGGTTTTGCTAAAGTTTTAATTTACTCTAAGTTAATTTAACTCACCAACTCCTTCATCACTAGCTGATTCTACAGTTGAGTATGTTAAGATATTTTCTACAACTAAAACACCTTTAATTGTGATGTTATGTGTCTTTGTATACACTATTTTAACATTGGAGGAGACCTTAGGCACAGGAGAATTTCATCCTCCTAGAAAATTATTTCATAAAATGGTATAAGCTCAAGACAGCTGGAGATGAAACTTCCAGCTATCATTTAGACTGGGGGACCAACAAAACAGGGCATTTGGTCTAGTGGTATGATTCTCGCTTCGGGTGCGAGAGGTCCCGAGTTCGATTCCCGGAATGCCCCTTTATTTTGCTTAAGTTTTTATTTACTCTTAAGTTGATTTGACTCTCCAAATACTCCTTCATCTGTAACTGACTCTACATTCGCTGTAGGAGAATACTTCCTCCTCTATAGTTGAGTTTGTTCAGATACAACCAACTTTAATAATGTCTACAATAACAGCACCTTTAATAGCATAGTATGCCCCTCTCTACATATATTATTTTAACAATGGGAGGGAGGAAGAGGGAGGATATGTTCTACTATGAACACTTAAAATTTGGATGAAAGAAAATGACCTTTTCAGATCTCTTATGTAAGAATGAAGATCTTTATAGTACTAAAACAATGGGAGGGAGGAAGGGGGAGGATATGGTCTACTATGAACACTTAAAATTTGGATGAAAGAAAATGACCTTTTTAGATCTCTTATGTGAGAATGAAGATCTTTATAGTACTAAAAACAAATTTGTAAAAGATCATAACACCGATTGAGCCCAGGAAGGATCCCTCAGACACTGGAGAATGCTCATCCCTCCAAGAAAATCATTTCAAAAAATGGCACAAGCTTACAAGAGACATGAAACTTCCAGCTATTATTTAGATTGAGGGACCAACAAACAGCAGGGCATTTGGTCTAGTGGTATGATTCTCGCTTTGGGTGCGAGAGGTCCCGAGTTCGATTCTCGGAATGCCCCCAGCTAAAGTAACTCTTTTACTTCATTTTACTTGTATATCTGCTCCTTCACTCTATTTTCTAATTGATATATTAAAATTAAGCAGGCCATTTTACTTGTACAACTGCTCCTTCACTCTTTTTTCTAATTGATATATTAAAATTAAGCAGGACACTGATGGATAACCTAGTGTGATTGGCCAGAGATCTTACAAGAAAATACACATCAAAGTCTGCAGTCTCAAAATTATCATGCCAATGCTATAATTTATCCTCCACCTTGTTAACAATGGAAACAAAAAATTTCAACTAGCACACACTCTCATCTTGGATGACTTAGTGTTAATCTTATTGCAACATTGTCTATAAGGAACATAAATAACTGGGTATTTGATCTAGTTGTATGATTCAGGGATTGCAAGATTCTTAGTATTTTGTTAAAAGAAAGCATTCAGATTGATGTTCTGAAAATTCCAGCAAGTTCATCAGCCATTTATGTAATTAAGATTCAAAAAATAGAATTCACACTGGGTCACATGCTGACAGTTTAATGTGACAGGGGAATCAATAAATTTTTTAGTTTATTATTATATCAAGATGTAGGACCATTTGTACAGTCAAGACCTAACTTTGCTTTGTCAATGCTTATGCCAGACCTTACCTAATGCTTGACTTCAAGAGCTCTTTATTGTTCCCATTTTGGCAAGCTGATCTCAAGTCTTCATACAAAAATATTTGCAGGTAAAGATTCTTTTAATTCATGTTAATGGATAACCAAATGACATGAATCACTTGAAGCTGCATAAGGTAAATCTAGATCTATAACATACAGATCAATCCATCATGACTACTTGAGTGCAGAGTTGGGCTTGCCTGTTCAGTTTACAAAAAAGCAGATCTAAAACTCCAAGGTTCAGCATCTTACACCCAAAAGATCCCTAAATATGAAATGTCGAACAGACAAGTTCAAGTATCTCTTCTATCATAAGCCATTATTTCAGATTTGCTTTTTTGCCATCCATTTTAAATTTGACAAAGCAGGCAAGACTTAAAAGTGAAGTTAGTACATGGATTTGTTGTAACATCAAATAATCATTATGTTTGATCCATAACACGGTCATTTAGGAGTCAAGGAAGTTAACAGTAAAAACTGAAATCATTAATCAATGACATAGAGATGTTGTGCAAAACCAAGGCAGTAGCTCTCAAAATTTCAAGTCAATATAAGAAATAAAGCCGATATCCATAGGTCATGAGCCATTTATATTGCACTTCAGTGAGAGAGAAAAAAAGCAGGAGCATTATTGTACCAAGTTGCTTTGCACCCAAAAATTATATATCATGAAAATTACTTAACATGATCTGCACTATTCCATGAAACAAGTAATGATGATATTATAGTAATAAATAAGGCCCAAAAGAGAACTGGAAGTAAGAGAACCCAGCAAAAAGCCCATGTTGAACTACAAATGTGATACTCCTTACTGGAGCTTTTATTTGCTTCAGCTGCGACTTAACTCGATCTATGAAGCTCAAACATGTAATATTACTCCAGCTAATGCTAGACACCTGGCCTCATGTCCAATGGAAGTTCTTAATTACTAGACATATCTCATGGATTTTGGATTCCAGATGACCAGAGGGTTTAATATGATAGCATAGGATTGTAAATATACAAGTGACAGTACCAACCAAAGCTGAGAGCGTCTTAGGCATCAAGTGCAGTGAGAATCAGAGGAACTGCAGAGGCATATATTCTAAGCAACAAGAACATTTAAGCAAGAAATGAAGATCATCTGGTGTAAAATATGGAGTCTTTGAATTCTTGCATTACAGATGAGCAATGACATTTGGGATCAAATAACTCAAAGGGGGAAAATACATTTGCCTAGCTCAAATAAGACAATGCCAACAATGGGCATTTGGTCTAGTGGTATGATTCTCGCTTTGGGTGCGAGAGGTCCCGAGTTCGATTCTCGGAATGCCCCTTCATTTAGATAAATTTTTTAATTTACTGAAGCTTAATTAACTCTCCAAGGGCTCATTCATCTCTTGCTGATTCTACAGTTGAGTACGTTTAGATATTACAACCAGATATGGGAAACTTCCCCATTTCTACAACTACTTCCAATGTTATGTCTCACTGTATACATTATTTTTACATTGGAGGATCCCCTAGACACAGAAGAATTCTCATCCCTCCTATAAATCATTTCATAAGATGGTACTCCAGACAACTGAATATGAAACTTCCAACTATCATTTAGATTGGGGGACCAACAAAAGCAGGGCATTTGGTCTAGTGGTATGATTCTCGCTTTGGGTGCGAGAGGTCCCGAGTTCGATTCTCGGAATGCCCCTTGATTTTGTTAAAGTTTTATTTACTCTAAAGTTGATTTAACTCTCCAAATGCTCCTTCATCTGTAACTGACTCTGCATTGCCATAGGAGACATTTTCCTCCTCTACAGTTGAGTTTGTTCACATACAACCAGAATACCAGATACAACCTACTTCAATAATGTCTACAATTTAAGCAACTTTAATAGCATAGTATGCCTCTCTATAGTCTATATACTTCATTTTAACAAAGGGAGGGAGGGAGAGGGAAGAAATGATCTCCTATGACTGCTTACACATTGAATAGAAGAAAATAACCTTTTCAGATCTCTCAAGTGTAAAAATGAAGATAACTATAAAACTAAAATCAAATTCGTGAAGGACCATAACACTGATTGACACAAGGAAGGATCCCCCGAGTCCCTAGAGACTAGAAAATGCTTATCCCTCCAAGAAAATCATTTCAAAAAATGGTATAGGGTCTGAATAACTGACATGGAACTTCTAATTATTTCTTAGACTGAGAGACCAACAAACAGCTGGGCATTTGGTCTAGTAGTATGATTCTCGCTTTGGGTGCGAGAGGTCCCGAGTTCAATTCTCGGAATGCCCCAAATTTTCAAGAGCCTTTTTTCAAGCCTGTACTCCTGATAGTTATAAAGGATTTTTAGGCAAATGTTGGATATCCATTTAACACTTTGCTGAATATTCAATAGTGAGATTTGTGTTCCGGAAATTGCAGTAAGCACATTATGCATTTATGAATTCGGTAGGATTCCAATGATTAATGGTTATTCATCTTAGACAGTTAAAATTAATTAGTTTAGTAATCCAAAAAGTTCTAGAACTGATTCTTCTTTCTAGTGTATTTTAGTAAACCACATATATTGCTTGACTTGCAGCTCTTTCCAGTCTCCTGTTCAGTACATATTCTGATGTAAGGTCAGCCAAGTCAATCAGCCAAAAGTCATGTTTTTTTCAGATAACAACATTTAGGCCAAGATGCATCCTTATCAAATAAAGAAAATGGAATGGCAAGATTTGATGCTCTGGAAGCTAAATTTTCAGAACTACAAGATAAAAATAACAAAGCACGAGTGCTGGTAGTATATGGATTTGTGCTAACCTCTCTAGTTTACAAGTAAGCCGATCGGAACTCCAAAATTCAACATAGAACAACCAAGAAATCCCTATATTCAAAAGCTTAGATAGATTAGCACAAGAATTATCTCACCTATGATAAGGAAAATTTAAGGGTTTGCAATTTTCCCTTCAGAAACAAATCAAATGTTTGCTTTCCATCAAAGTTTGTTGATATTAGACATACAGATCAACAATCATAACAGAATTATTTAGCAGAACGGTGTTATTTTTTAAATTCATTTGATGAGGAGCAGAAAGGTGTTACTAAAAATCAAACAGTACATCATTTGACATTCTTTTTGGAAAAAAGCTCTCTGATTTCCTACTCACATTTGGAGTTAAATTGGATAATGCTAGTGATGAGTCATTTTATTTCAGTTTACTTGAGCAACGGCGCATCATTTCTACAGTCCAGACATAATTATGCTTTGTCAAAGCTTACACTAAACTTCACCTAGTGTATTGACTTCAAGAGCAGTTTGTTGTTTCCCTTAAGTTAGGTGTTTTGATCACAAGTCAACTAAGACACTCAGCCAAATGTCTTCATACAACAATATTTCCAGGCAAAATGCTTTCTATCCACTCTCATGGACAACCAAATGACACGAGTCACCTAAAGCTGAATAAGGTAAATCTAGATGTATAAGCAAATAATTAATAAATACCTGCAATAGTACAGAGTTGGGCTCGCACGTTCAGTTTACTAATAAGATCTGAAACTCCAAAATTCAGAGTCAAACTTTCCGGGGATACCTGAATATAAAATGCTAAAACGGGTAAGTTCAAGTGTCTCAACTGTCATCAGCCATCATTTCAGATATGCTTCCCATTTTTGCCATCTGATTCCAATTTGACTAAGCAGGCAAAACTTAAAGTTAAGTTAGTACCGGGTTTCCCTTTATATCAAAGATTCATAAAGTTTGGATTAAAACATCAATTAGGGATCAAGGGTGTTTTGCCTTAATCACTGATGATCAACGGCTCAGAGGTCATTCACAAAATTGAGGCAAGAGTTCTCTAGACTTTCACGTCAAAATGAGGAACTAATGGGTATCCATAGTTCAAATACCTATTTTCATTTCAATTAAGAGAGCTAAAGATGCATGAACATCATTGTACCGTGTTCTTTTGTACCAATTCACATACCATGAGCTACGCCGTTTCATGAAAACAAGTGAAAAGAATCTAAGATAAGGAAGGTATAGCTAAAAGAAAATTGGTAATAAAAGAACCCAACGAGAGAGCCCGTGTTTAACTACAAATGTGATATTCATAATGTAGTGGAAGCTTTCTTACTTAAGCTGTGACCTACTCAAACTATGTGTTCAAATATGCAATACTGATACAGCTAATGACAAAATCCTGGCCTCATTCCATTGACAGTTCCCAATCACTAGACAGTTTCAATGGCTTTTTTATTCCAGATGCTGAAAAGGTTGAGAATGATAGAAAAGGACTGTAAAGAGACGAGCTTCAGTAACAATGAAAGCAGATACAATCTTTAGGCACGAGAGCAGCACAAATCAGAGGAAGCTGCAAAGGCGTCATATTTTAAGCAACCCATCTGAGTATCTAACCATCTCCCATATCCAAATGGGAGCCAGCAAAAGTACCAAATGATGATGTTATCTTTAAAAAAAAATGGGGGGGGGGGGGGGGGGGGAGAGGGGGGAAGCTACCAAAGAATATTAAAGTAATCAGCTGGTATGAAAAACGGAGCATCTGAAGTCTAAGTTGAAGATAAGCAATAACATTTACAATCAAATAACTCACAAGGTGAAATTGCCTCAACAAAACAATTTTTTATTTCTGGAAAGATCCCTTAAGGCTCAAATGGGACAACTAGGGATACTTCATGCGAATTGTAGGCTTGGAAAACCTATTATCGTATCCTAAAACGAGCATTTTTTTTCAAACAATTAAAACAAATCCTACACAAAGGTGTGCAAAGAAATTTTCATTAAGTCTCATCACACATGGCACATGTTAGATTAGATGGGTCCCTTCCAACTCACAATCAAGAATAATTGAAACGAAGTCGCATAAATCAAACCAATACCAAGTAGTGAGCAAAGAGTAAACAAATGACCAAGTGTTACAAATAAGACCATTTCTCTCAATGTTATCCACTTCTGCAGCAAAAATTCAGGAGGGATATTCCATAAATTTGACAAAGACTCACATGAAAGAGTCTAAATAGTGGTTTTCAGAAAAACAAGTTATACAAAGAGAACAATCAAACAAAAACACATTTTTATTCCCTATTAGCTACTAACTATCCCTAAACACACCCGGTTCAAAAAAATTACTTTTTCTGGAAAAGAACTGTGGCTTACAAAAACCAAAAGCTTTTTGAAACCAAGTACAAGGTAAACCTAGGGAAGTACAAAACAACAGTAAATACTAATAAACACAACTAGTGATATTATACATGCAGCAAGTACTCATTCAAAGGAAAAAAATGTCAAAACCTTATAGACTAAGGGTGTGTTTGGTATGAAGGAAAATGTTTTCCATGGAAAATGTTTTCCTAGAAAATGTTTTCTTGGAAAACAAGTAGATTTTGGACTTATTTTCTCATGTTTGGTTGGTGGTGAGTAGAAAATATTTTTCGGAAATGATTTTGTGTTTGATTTATGAATGAAAAATATTTTTGAGGAATATCTTTTATTTTTACTAGAATACAAAATAATTTATGAAATTGAAAATATTTTTTAAAAACAATTTTTTTTGGTGGTGATGATAGGGGGTGGGGGTAGTAGGGGGGGGGGCAGAGGGAGGGGGTAGGAGTAAAAAAAATAAAAATTTGAAGTTGACAGTATTTTAAAAAAATAAAATTAATTTTTTGGGGGGTTGGGGGTGGGGGTGAGGGGGCTGATAGGTGGGTAGGGGGGCTGGCCGGGAGAGGGGAGGTAGGAGCTTAAAAATAAAAAATTGGAGTTGAAAATATTTTTAAAAAGCAAAATTAATTTTTTGGGGAGGGGGAAAAAGCAAAATTAATTTTTTGGGGAGGGGGTGGTGTTGGGGGAGGGGGGCAAGGGGAGGGTAGTCAGAGATCGGGTGAAAAAATAAAATTTTAAAATTGAAAATATTTTTTAAAAAAATTAATGTTTGTTTTCCAAAAAAAAATGTAATTTGAAATTGGAGGAGAGCTTTGGAAAATGTTTTCCTTAATTTTTGAAGGGAATACATTTTCCTTAATTTTGAGGAAAATAAGTTGATTTGGAAAACATTTTCCAAAACTTTTGCCCCAACCAAACATAAGAAAATTGGAAAACATTTTCCAAAAAATGTTTTCCTTCATACCAAACACACTCTAAAGATAAAACATAGTATTCTAAAATATTATCTTATTAATCACTTGGAGAACTAGTGATAATTTAACATATCAGACTACGAATCACAAGAAAAATAAGAGACAATCCATTTTAAGGGTTCACGATTCAGCCATGGGATGAAGATCAAAGTTACTGCGAGGCAACAGGCTTCATATGTAGATTTTGTTACCACATGAAAGAATCTAAACATCTAATTGAAATGGTAAAATCCAGGAAAAAAACAAGTACTTTTTAATACATTAATTCTAGTAAGATTGCATTTTTATTTCTTAAAAGGTTCACATATATGAGAGCTCACATGCTAATTGTAACAGCCTGGTAAACCGTTGCCATGAGGTAGGTGCAAACTCGGCCCATTGGCCTCCTCACAAACAATTCTCCACCCTGGACACCACCAACAGTGAAGATGAACATGTGACCTTGCTTTGAAGCTAATTAAGAGAACCCAAGCACACAATTCAAGATGCTACAGGCAATAAGTGAAGTAGTTTAAGATTTTTTAATAACCATTTTGGATGCTCTTATGCCCCTGATGTGGAATGCCATATATCTCTGGCACAAACCACGCTTTCTTCCTTCTAACAAGTGGTTAGGGAAATATTTGATATTAATGTTAATCAAACTTAGAAGTCCCCATCAGAAAATGAATTCTACATTTGCTAGTGGGAACTCTTAGTAAACACTACAAAACCCACTAGGATATTGCAATGTGTCTACTTGAATACAAAACCTAACAAGTAAATATGTAATATAAGCAAGAGCAGATAACTATTTTTTCAATTCAAAAGTTGACATAAAAAGTGAGATACCTTGCAGAACCCCGACTTGTGATGAAAAAACAAAACCATTTAATTTCACAAATTTGCGAAGAGTATGAACACAAAGAAATGAACAGAAATATTTGGAAGCTAAATCACAATATAAGCTACTCCCTCCATCCCATTTTTTTAATATTTTAAAATTAGTGTGGTGTGTGGGCTAGTTGTCGCACACCTCAACTAATTCCACGGGTACCTGCCAACTCCCATCAGCAACAGGAACCACTATTGACCTAATTCCAATTTACTCTTCTTATATTGGGAATATTTGATAAAATTCCACCAATGATACCATTCTATAAAACTTTCAACAACTTTAAGAAGTTCAAATTGACCAATCTATCAAATTCTATCTTTTGAATGATTTTCAATCAAATTGATTTCTTCAACTAGTACTTAGATATATTTTTTCCTCTAGGAGGCAAGTCAAATAAACACGTTAAACTCCATATCCTACAATATAAGTACTAGAATACTACTTTCAACCCCGAAGAATAAGAGTAGAAAGCAAAGCAAAATACAGCGAAGTAACACTCAAACACGAACAATTAGGTCACACTTCGAACTTGTAAACACAAATTAACAAACAATTTGGGCTGCAATAGAGTATGAATTCGACAATAACTTATTGAAAAATTAAGGAAGATGAACAAACCTGAAGTGAATAATCACAACCCTATGGGACCTCGGAGTCGGAGAATGTTCTCAGCAATAAGCAGAGAATTTTTAGTATAAAATTACAACTCTTTAAATTATTATATTTTTATTCTTGCCGTTTTGCGCGCGCATTTCTGATTTTCTTCTCTCTTTTTTTCCGCTCTGTGGGAGATATTATCTTTTCGTGAAGGCGAATTGTAATTTTGAAAATGTAAAATCTAAACAAATTTATATATATATATTAATTTTTATTTTATTTATTTTTTTATATGTTTATTATTATTTTCTGTTATAAATATAAGCTTAGAATAATATAATTATAAAGAGAAGAATGCAAGATACGGAGATAGAAGAGAACTTTTCTTTGTTATTCAAGTGTCTTTTAAATGGTGAGTAATATCTCTATTTATAATTTTGAAATTTTGAGGTATCACTTCAAAAAATCATCCAACTAGTAGATATACATAGTTATCCTAAATGATTTTATTTCCTTGGAAGCACCTATACATGAATCTAATTAATTATTGGATAAACTCAATGGATAATCAACGTAATACACAGGATTTAAAACAATATCTAATTTTTTTTCATTATTAATTTTTGATGATAGGTGATATTTTATCAATTAAATTGCAAAATATCGTTTCATCAAGACAATCACTATTTAAATTTTTAACATAATTATTTAAGTAATAATTTGATAAATTTAGATAAAGATAAAAGTTAAAATCATATAATCTAATTCAAGAAGATGATAAAAAGATAAAAGTTACGATATACCCATTTTGAGGTTTTGAGATGTATTTGTCAAAAGAATATATACCTCTGTATAGGTGTAAGGAGTAGTTTTTTTTTTGTGGTTATGGTTTAAAAATCCAATCGAATCATAATTTGAACAAAATTGATTAAGAAAATTGATTTTTTAATTGATTTAATTTGGTTATGTTGGATTTTAAATTTTGAAAATTGACATTATTTGATTTGGTTTTGATTATACTAAAAAAAGGCATAAATAATCGAATCAAACCGAAAAATTATATTCATAAACTTTATAATTATTTACGTATTATTTATAAATAAAATATAAATATTTTATTAAACTTTAATTAACTTTGAGGTTTAACTTTATCATTTTATCAAGTCTGAAAGTTAAATTTTAACTCAAATATTACAGCTCCAAGTCAAGTCCATCAAAACCTATTACTTAAGTCTCTACCTATCCTACTTCACATAAAATAGTCATATTTTCTACTAATTAAATTTTGTTTATATAATAATAATTTTTGTATTACTTAATTGAATGCACATATATAGTTTTCACGTGGATTATTCATGTACGAGGTGCTTGTGTCTATCGAAATACGTATATTTGGGAAAAAAAATATTACTTTCGACTCGAATTAAAAAACCATCAATTAATTTTTTTTCGTTTGATTTGGTTTTATTTTTTCTTTTGATTTGGTTTGGGAGTTATGATTAAGAATTTGAGAGTTCTAAATTTTCTTTAAAATCATCCATCAATTTTGTTAGGAGTTCACAAATTAATATATAAATATTTAATTAATTTTTAATATAAATACAAAATATACGAAAAAACTACTAAATTCTTTCAAAACCATGAACCCCACCTAACTTCGCCCTGCATGCAACAATATTTGCTTGCATTTAACCACAAAATATACTTCTTTTTTCTCTCAAGATTTTGGGAGTTTCATATCTGATTAGTGAGCTAGTAATTTAGCATGTTTATAGTGTTATATAAATGACTTAAACTCAATACATAAGGCACTTATTTTACATGACCAAATGACTAGTGATAATCTTGTGTTTGATCATACGATTTGAGACATGGATTTAAATTAATATTTATTTATGAAATATGAATAAAATTATAATTTCATATGATGTTTTGAAATTTAAAATTCTTCAAAAAATAAAAATAAAAAGTTTTTATGATTTCTATTCGTGATTTTTTTCTTTAAAAAAAATTTGTCAAACTTGGCCCATATGAATACATTTTGCACGTAAAATTCATCATTTTAAATTTAGAAAAAAAAAATAAAGCTTGTTATAAAGAAATTATATGTACGTCGTAGGAGGATGGATAAAAGAATAACTAGTTATTCCGATAAAAAAATACAACAATATAACTAGTGTAATCGTGCAAGTAAGTTCCGAATAAGATAATGTGCACATGATCTTGCTCCTACCTTGTGAAAGTTGATTTTTTAATAAGTTAACCTTTATAAAGAAAATGTATGTACTGAAAGTTTGCAATAACATGTGATCACAAATAAAGAAAATGAATTTGCAATATTTTATTAATGTAGTATCTGAGAATATACATTTTTCCAAATTTTCTATATACATATAAAACGTTCCCGTCGAGGTCAATGGGTGCTCGAGCACCTAAACATTTACACGTGGGTCCACCCCTTATCAAAACGATAACATTCTCAGTATAACCCCACCAGTTGAGACTTGAGGTAATATAACATGTGTAGTAAATATAACTATTATTGATAGAGGGGTTATTTTTTACGGAGCGTACAAAGACTTTAAAAGTCATTTTCAATGAGCATACGTAAACTTTATCTTTACCTCGTAAAAATAAAGAGATTTTTCGTGATGAAACGTATACAACCATGTCTTAAACCTCATAGAAATAAAAAATTTATTTCTGATACAGCATACACATGTCGTATTTTTACCTTATCCAAATTCAAAAAATTTCTTTTTATGAATGAGACCCAAGTCTTACGTTTATTTCTAAAGAGGTTTTTTGGATAGCTATTTATGAAAGCACGACGTAGAAAATGATTCTCACCTTGTTGGTTCTATTGGAAGGCAAAAAAAATTTCTCGAGCAACCCTTGATTGATTGACAATGCCTTTTTCTGGTTAAGCCGTCAAATAAAAGAAAAAAAATAATGGGTTAGTAATTATTAAAAAAATAATATTTGAAACCATGAAAATGAAAAATGTGGTAAAAGGAGATGGAGTACCTTACAAGGAGAACGAGCTCGACTTTTCATTTTAGAAGAAAGAAAAAAAATGAGGAATTTTTTTTTTGAATTTTTGGGGATATTTTTCAACCAAAAAGAACTTATGAAGAGGAAAAATGAGATTTATAAGGAAAAATATTTGTCTTTTATTTATATTTCGAGAAGATTTAAAAAATCAAATCTCAAAATTCAAAAATAGCTTCAAACTTCATTTTGAAGAAAAAATCTACCAAACATTTTTTTTTTATATATTTAATCAAATAATAATTTGAGAAAAATAGTTATTTTAAAAATAAATTAAAATAAAAAAATATACAATATGATTTCATCATAACAAATGCATATGAATATAACATAAAATAGCTCACTGAACCAACGAGTATAAAGGGGGAATTCCGTTAGCTAAGTTTGTAAATAAAGGTACATGTGTATTATTAGTTACAACTTACAAGTATGGGTGTGCATCTATTGATCCATCAAATTTTGATTTATATGCTAATTCCACAATCAAGCTAATAAAACATTTATTATTAATTTTCTTAATAATTTTATTTTTGATTTAATTGCTAGAGAGATGCTCATATAATCACATATACTCTTATGTTCTTAAAATAAAAATAGCAACTCAACATTAATTATTTGTATTTTTAGCACAATAAAATTTAAATTGAGAAAATAAAAGATAATACTAATTTGTATCGAGATAGAGATAAAAATATCACAATAAAGAAGTAAAAAGGCTAATTTGTGTAGCCTACAACCAAAGTAATACTAAAATTTATATTCTATTTATTAGTCCTAAATATATGGAAAGAAAGTATATCAAACATAAGTAAAAATTAATGCAAAACTGATTGCGTCTGCCGGGAGTCGAACCCGGGTCTATTGCTTGGAAGGCAATTATCCTAACCGTTGGACTACAAACGCTTCCCTGCTATTCAATCACAGGAAATAAATTTTGACCGTAAGATCCCACCCCAGACTACTCCAACATATTCGTTTTCATTCCAATTTATGAGACTAAGTTTGATTAAGAAATAAGTATATAAAATAAAATAAATTCGTTTTTGAAGTTTATAATCTAGAGCAAATACAGATCTCATAATTAAAAATACAATAAGTCAATAAAAATATTAAAACTAAATTATTTATAACCATAAATATAAAAATGTATCATAGTTTTGAATCAAATTAAAATGAAAAAAATAAGGTACCAAAAGAGAAGTGGAAGTAAGAGAACCCCAGCAAAAAGCCCGTGGTGGATGGACTATGAATACTCCTTAGTGGAGCTTTTATTTGCTTCAGCTGTGACTTAACTCAAAGGAAAATAAATTTCTTTAGCACTCAAATGCCAACAATGGGCATTTGGTCTAGTGGTATGATTCTCGCTTTGGGTGCGAGAGGTCCCGAGTTCGATTCTCGGAATGCCCCAACTTTTTTACATTTCTTTTGAAGGCAAATGTATGTTTGTTTTCCATCAAAGTTTGTTGATATTAGACATGCAGATCAACAATCATAACTGAAATATTTAGTAGAATGGTGTTACTTTTTTTAATTCATTTGACGAGGAGCAGAAAGGTGTTATTAAAAAAATCAAACAGTATCATCATTCTTTTTGGGAAAAATTTATCTGTTTCCAATTTAATTAAGCAGGCAAAACTTAAAAGTATTTATATCAAAGATTTATCAAGTTTGGATTATAACATCAATTAGGGATCAAGGGTGTTTTGCCTTTGATCACTGATGATTAACCGTTGCCATGAGGCAGAGGTGCAAACTCGGCCTCCTTTCAAACAATTCTCTACCACCAACTTACAATTGAAGATAAATATTTGACCTCGCTTTGAAGCTAATTAATTAAAAGAATCCAAGGACACAACTCAAAATGCTAAAGGCAATAAGTGAAGTAGTTTAAGATGTTGATAATCATTAACATAATTCTATAAGTAATAAGCTGAATAAAAAATTAAAAAATTCTGTAATTAATCTAATTCAAGAAGTAAAAGTTACTTAGACATACCTCAATATAATGTCTATTGTGATGCTTACCAATTTAAGGGCTTGCAATTTAGGAGGAGGCTTTGTGTGTGGTGGTGGGTTGTTATAATTTACTTTGTTCAATATCTTTTTTTTGACTATAATTTTGATACAGTTTTACTCTAAGCCTTATCAAGATTTTGAAAGAAAAATAGTAGAGTTAAAACCAATAATTTAATGTGAATGCTAGTGAATAAAATGCAAGAAAGTAAAACTTGGTTTCTTCTATTTGTATAAAATAATATTTTTTTTACTAATCATGCTCCGCGTGTGACATACCCCACGGGCTTAATTTTGACGTAGAGTAGGAAGCATCCGGGAAACAACACCATATTTGTTGTACATGCCATGCAATATCTTCCTCAGCCTACATAAGCATATAAAGACAACAAAAACCTATCTAGCTTATCCAATTCCTCTTTTTGTTTCAACTCTATAATATAAAGAAAAAAGAATGTGGTAGAAGCTAAGTGTTTTCTAGCTATAGTATAGTAATAAAAGATTGATGAAGATGTGGTACTATTTGATGGTGGTTATTGATGGAGTGAAGCAATTCATAACAACACTATGGGAATTGCAAGAGATGAGATTCTCAGCCATATTTGATGACTTGAGCTACATTGTTATGAACATCATTACGGCTGCTGTTTCTTGTATTATTCACCAACATCATCAGCATCTCTCTAGCTAGAATCTTTAATTTATTAGGTGTGCTCGTTTTTAGGAATATTTGTGAGGGTTGTTAGAAGCATATTGCTCCTAGGATGATTTCAATATTATATGTTCTGGTGTATTTAAGGAACAACTAAATGGCTTTGAGAACGATAGTACTTGACTATTTTATATCTTTGTAAATATTATATATCTCATATGAGGTTTTGAGATGTACCAGTCCAGAGAATATTTATCCTGTATAGATATTGGGTGATGTCGTGGTTAAAAAATCAAATTGAACCGCAATTCGAATCAAGCCTATTAAAAAAATTGATATTTGATTTGGTTTGATTATGTTTTCTTTTAAATTTTAAAAATTAATCCTATTTGGTTTGGTTTTGATTGCATTTAAAAACTCGCAAAAATAATCAAATCAAACGAGAGAAATTATATATATATAAATTTTATAATTATCTTTCTATTTTATAAATAAATATAAATTTCAATTAAATTCAACAAAAAAGAAAGAAAACTACTACGAATACATTAGAAATACTCCATAAGACAGAGTTGAAAGATCAATTTCGTTTCAGTTCACAACGGATCCAAACACGATTTAAAAGCTCTTTTTGTTGCGTTTTTTCCGTACAATTGTCTTTCAATACTTTGAAGGCGACATCTTCCAAAGAATAATAAGTATAGTTGTTACTAGTGTTGAAAGTGGGGAAGAAAACTGCATTATCCACATTTACCTTCATGCCACAAACACCAAAAGATGAGGCTTCACTAGTGAATAAAAGCCAATTTTTGACTTGTTTTACTAATTTGACTATTATGTTGCTTGGAAAGTATAGTTCATAAACATGAACGTCATATTGTGGTGTCACAACCACAGAATGTAGCAAGTATTCATCATGTTGAACTAAAAACAAACGGCAAGCACCACAAATAGGAGGTGAATATACGTCAGAAAGTTTATGGACAAACCAGTAAGGGGTTCCGTCTTTAAAGAAGCCAAATACACCAACATCACCTAATTGGCTCAGGACACAAAATTCTTCACCAAAATAGACCGGACTACAACATGAAGGTGGGAAGTTACCGTCCCTTATGATAGTAGTCCACTTGTCATCCCCTTTTTTCAAATAGGAAATTCTAACGTGAAGCGACATGAATAAAGCTATACCAAAGATTACCCATGCAGAAGACTTAGTCGGAGAAGCTGAGAATGACATAATGTCACAAAAATATTCATCTGCTTTTTGTGGGAGATGTATTATTTGCTTCCCAGGCTCAACGAAGAAGAGAGACTTTCCCTTAGATACAAGAAGCCATCCATCTTTGGCATACCGAATTTCACAGCCTATTAAATCGTTGTTGCTCATATAACAGTTGAAATTTCTAAAAGGATTATAGAATGTGCACAAACCATCATTTTGGTTTAGAGATAGAAGCCACATGGAGTCTTGATCATAACAACGAGTCGCATCATCATCACCATCAACAGCCACTTTCCAACGTAATGGAGGAGCAATAGATCTCCATAATTTACACACCAAGCGAAAACTCATGTAGTCTGCTTCCTGAGAAATTAGATAACGAGAAATTTTCTTTTGAAGGTCTTGAGAAACACGGATGCAAATGTTGCTGTCTGCAGCAGCAGGGTTACTATAAATACCAGTACCGGATGGACGCTTAGTAGTAGTGTTATGTTGAATTTTGGCCCTTCCTGACCTGAATAAATTATCAAAAAAAAAATCAAATGTTATGAACAATATTCACAAACAGACGATGAAATTAATTAATTAATTAATTGGCGAATAGACGAACCGAATTGTGAGGAATATAGGCACGAAATTGCTTAGTTGTTGAGAAGCTTTGATCGCCAATGTCGAAGGCATATACAGTGCGGTGATCATCGCACTGTGTGAAATAGACCCGATTTTTTTCTTGAGGTAGAGATGAAGAAGTTGCAGTTGAGAATATGTGACTTATAAAAATAATAAATCCGTCCAAATTGAATACTCTGTTGAATTGATCTGTTTCAAAATCGGCCTCCCAAATCTCAAAAATGGAAGGTGATCCGACTCTTTGTTGAACTAGAAACAATTGGTGTTGCCACGATATCAAGTGTCTGTTTCGATACAAAGCAGAGATATCTGTTGGTGCCCTGAATGTGACAGGGGAGAGATGAGTCGTTTTAGTTATTTCAGGGAACATTTGTATTATGCCTAGCTCCCCATTATGAAACATAATGCATATTTTCTCACCGTTACAGAAGGTGACTGCGTCTAACAACCAGCTATCATCATAAAGTTTTACTTTTACCCACTTTTTATAGCAAGGAGGACCACAAATTAGACAATAGGGTTCTCCGTAAAAGAACAGAGAGACGTTGCACAAGTATTGATCGTCATAGGGAAAATGTTCTTGTGTTGAAGGGGAAACAATACACTTGAGAACCTTTGTCATCCAGTGATGGTAGTAAGAGAAATTAGGGAGCATGATTTTGGTATGACATTTGAAGTTCCAAACAAAACATACCCAGTTGTCAATGAAAAAACCCCAATCGTCCCAACGAGCCAAGCAATTTCTGCCTATCTTGCTAAGATCAATTTGTTCCTTGGAAGTGATCCATGACAAATATTTTTTGTCCTCCTCTTCAGCCCTTACTGATGGCAAATAGTACTCCATCTCCATGATTCTTGTTTTATTCAAACTTTCACCCTCTCTTTAAACAGTGACTCAATTCATATACTAGTTTGTTTCCTACTACAACTAGACAACTACCTTAAGGGAAACATATGCTTTTTTTTAATTCCATGCTCATGTCAAATCGCGCGTGTGTATATATATATATATAGCCAACACAAAAAAAAAAAAAGAGTTAAAAAGATCAAATTCATCAATAGCCTCTTAAAGTTGACACCAAATTACACATAGACACCTCAACTGTGCGATGTTCAATTTAAACACCTCATTTAGGGCTAAGGAGAATAGAAAACAAAATAAAAAATTAGCTAAATTAAGTCTTTCACGCGGTTATTATTGAGTGTATCACACTCACTTTTACATGTCAGCAAAAAGTGTTTAAATGATACAATGAGACCCAACCTGAAGTGTCCAAAAAAAACATCGTTCAGTTAAGGTATCTAAATGAAATTTGATTCCAATTTTAAAGGGTTATCGATGAGTTTGACCAATTAAAATAGAACACTTTTTGACTTTTATTAGGATTCTTTTTACATATTTATTACTTTGCCAAAAATAACTATTACCCCTGAATTTATTTTATAAGTAATTTTCTACCCTTTTTAGCTTACGTGGCACTAGTTTGAAAAAAAAAAATCAACCATCGTTGGGCCCACCAGATAGTGCCACGTAGACTAAAAAGGGGTAAAAAATTATTAATAAAATAAGTTCAGGAGGGTAATAGGACCTTAGTATAGTATAAGTGTGTCTCTGAGATTTCGGTCATAGGTTGAGGGGATACTTGGACATTATCCTTTAAAAAAAAGATGATCTAGTTTGACTTGAAACGGAGTTTAAGAAAAGAAAAATAAAATTTTTAATCTTGTGGTTACAAATTAAAGTTATATCAAATTTACAAAAATATCCTTTAATATTGTGGTCTTAAACATGCCACGCCATGTGAAAAATTAAAATTAAAGTATTATTAAAAAAAGAAAGGAATAATTCTTTTTTGTAAAAATTTAAGAAATCCCATAGTGTAATTCAATAATTTCATTTTATCCCGACAAATTTAGTATTTACAAAAAATTCCTTAAATTTATAGTATAAATAGGGGTGATCATAGTCATTTGTAATCAACTCAAATCAAATAATCTTCTTCTATATCAAAGTAATTTTATTCAAAATATTTCTTCTCCTTTCTAGCTTCCTCTTCCTTAGTTTAAATCTTTCGTTTTTAGTTAACGATCTTGGGCTAACCAATTATACTCCTATTGGGCTAGCAGAAGAATTCCCCAATTATACTCTTCTTCTGCTATTGTGCGGTGATGATAGCACTGTGTGAAATCGGTGAAATAGATATGATTTTCTTGTTGAGATAGATATGGATAAGTTGCAGCAGAGAATTGTCCACTAATAAAAATAATAAATCCGTCCAAATTGAATTGATTTGTTTCAAAGTCAGCCTCCCAACCCTCAAAGATGGAAGGTGATCCGATTTTTCGTTGAACTAGAAACAATTGGTCTTGCCACGAAACCAAGTGTCTACGTAGCAGTGGCATCTGTTGGTGCCCTGAATGTGAGAAGAGACCAAGTGTCTACGCAGCAGCCTTTTAACTTTTTTTTTTTAAAAGGCGGTTTTTTTCTTTCCCAAAATAATACTCCTTAGACATGGCAGTACTTGTTTTGCTAAAAATAAGCTACTTCCCAATTCTCGTTACATTTAATGTAGTAGTTTTTAAATTGACAAATAATACTAATTTGAGTTAAAACAAAAAATATTCAATATAATTTTCTAATAACAAATGCACATGACTATATCACATGTAATAAATCGCAGGCTAATTTGTGTCGAGAAGGATAAAATGTCACAATAATAAATAACACAGCTAATAAATTGCAGACTAAGTTGTGTCGTTAAGGGATAAATATCTCATTAAAGAAGTAAAGAGGATAATTTGGGTTGCCTACAACCAAAATAATATTACTCCCTCAATTTTTTAAAAAAAATATTTCTATTTTTTTTTTGTCTATTTTAAAAAAAACGATTTTAATTTAGAAAACAAATATCTTATTTCTTTTTTAGTCTGTTTCAAAAAGAGACTTAAGTTTAGAACTAGGTGCGAGAGGAAGTAAAAATTACATTCTATTTATTAGTCCTTAATATGGAAAGTATCAATCAATTAATAATGCAAAACTGATTGCGTCTGCCGGGAGTCGAACCCGGGTCTATTGCTTGGAAGGCAATTATCCTAACCGTTGGACTACAAACGCTTGATTGAGATTTGTACTTAGACATTTTATTTCGCACTATATTTACACAATTTATATGGTGAAGTTTGATCACACGATAAAATATATATGAAAAGTAAACTCCGTCATCTCATAATTAGAACTTAAAGTTCAGTAAAATATTAAAATTAAACTAATTTATAACTATAAATATAAAAATGAATCATAATTTTTTAAAACAAATTAAAAGGGAAAGAAAAAAAATGCCAAGGGAACAGATTGAGTAGTGATTCAAGCCTCCAATCAACAAGTTAATAAAAGGTTGCAATTGATACTTAGTTGTCGTAGTTTTCAATTTTGAGAGTCAAACAATAAAAATTTTGATCAACATTTTAAAATGTATTATTTCATTATATTTGATACTAGAAAAATTACAAGTTATAATACTTTAAATATAATTTTTGAATTATTGGATTTTAAAATATCTAGTGCAATATGAATGTAGAAAGTATGTTGATAATTGTAACTGAAAACAAGTAATTCGTTCGTCCAAACTGACTTTCATTTATAATTATATAAACACTGAACCGCAACAAAAAAAAAAAATTATTAGTACAGATAATCCCTATAGCATGTTTGACTCAAGCAGCCGTGAATTTGTAACTGAACCCTCTTTCACTGCTACTTTCAGATGTAGTTGGCATCACTGTCAAATTGTGGTGAAAGGACGAAACCACCATTGTTGGATGAGTAACAATAGCTTTGTAATCTCCATGGAAAAGTGAAGTCTCGAAATAACCTTCAGCATTTGTAGTCCCAACCAAATCCTCATGTGTTAATGACACACGAATTTTGTCAACAGCATCTCCAGTAGCTAGATTTTTGAAGTTGTTATCAGTCAAACACATTTTATAACATCCAGTTGGTTTCCATGCTGACCAAATTATTAACCCTTCAACAGCTGGGTGTCCAACTACCTCTTTTATGATTTGATCCAAGAATTGCGCCTTCAATGTCAAAAAAAAATAAAAAATAAGGGAGATGTTAGAACAATTATGATTAAAATCTTTGATTCAGTTTATATGAGTACCTGATTTGGACTGCTTTGGACATCCAACTCAGTGATCCAAATAGGCAATTTTGCTGAAGCAAGTGTATCGATTGCGGACCTAATATAAGCCTGGTTAGGAGTAATAAAATGTCCTTCCAACCCAATCCCAAGAGAACCTTTATACCCTCCTGCTCTTATTTGTCTAATCTTACTAAGATAATTGGCTGGTGATGAAGCTGCATCGCGTTGATCTTCTATCGTATTAAACTCGTTCAAGAACAGAGGTGTTTTATTATCAAATTGTGCAGCCAAACGATAAAAGGTTGCAGATGCACCTGCACCAAGTTTACTCTCAAAGAAATTGAAGTGAAGGTTTTCATTCATAACATCCCAATGAATAACTTGGCCTCTGTATTTCGCGACAACTGAACCAACTCTTCTTCCAGCAGCAGCAGAGAGTTGTTGTGAGGATAGCGAAGGGACCCAATTAGGCTGAAATTTTGGGTCATCCCAAAGTATATTATGGCCTCGAATACTGACACCTTTGCTCTTGCATAAATTGACCATCGCATCAGAAGTTGAGTAGTCTACTTTGCCTTGAGATGTTTCAGTACTGTACCATTTCATTTCATCCTCAAATACCGTGTACTTGAATCTCGAGAAGAACCAATTTTGGTAAGCGTTGTTGTTAAGAATGTTTTTGTTGATTGCACAACCAAATGGGAAATTGGCTCTTGCTTGTATCAATGAGATTGTCGCATTAGGTAAAGCCTTGCCTTGCGAGTCCACTACTTGAATTGCCACTTTGCTTTTGCGGACCTACATAATATTACAAGAAATGAAATCGAACAAATATATAAAGTGAAGAAGACCATAGAGTAACAATATTTCAAATTAATTGGTTAGTTTTATTGTGTACCTTTTCAATGGTTTGAGTTTGATGGGACGTCCACTCTTCTTGGCCAAATGGTTGTACTGAAATACTGTCTATCCATATGTCAACTGCTGTATTATTGGTCTGGGAAAAAAAGAAAGGATTGTGAATAACTAAAGATATTTTTATGATAAACACCAAGCAGTAACAAAAATGGTAACTAGTCATACAGGGGAAAAAATTTCTATGACCTCAAAATTGAGTTGAGCAGGACCAGAAGCATTGACAACTAAGCCACCCTTGAACATAGACCAACAACCAGACTTAGCATTAGCCCAAGCAGCATGTTGATAACCACTTTGTGTCTTGAAAATGACTGCTACAGTGGCATCATCACCATGGTTCACTTGTGCCCATCCTTTAAAATTAAACATAATGTATTAGAAAAAATTAATCTAAATCGTCGTTCACTTATGTAAGTTGAAAATTGATATATTTGTACCAGAAACTACGTAGAACTTGTCTTTATCCAATTGAAACTCTTGTGACAAACCATGATACGGTCCTTTCCTCTCTGAGGCAACGATGAATTTATTTCCATCGCTTGAAACATTGTTCTCAACTTTAGCAACTCCCTGAACGTCCCATCCATTTAAACCATCATTAAATTCTGGATTTGTCACGATCCTTCCATTATATTGAGGTTTAAGAGGATTCTTCAAACACTGAAACACAAAATAAGAACCATAAAAAATAATTAGTAATCACTAATCAATAAGCTAAGCAACAAGAGAAAAAAAATGTTAAAAGTAAGAAATTATGCCTCCGCTGAAAAATTATAGTCATAATCTAGCGCATGGACTTCAAAACCTGTCAAACATAAAAAAAAATAAAAAAATTAAAGTCATAAGAAAACATAAACTTGTTTTTCTAGAAAAAAGAATTTCAAAAATTCAATCAATCATATAGGAAAAAAAGATATTTTTTTTACAAACCTATCGAGCTGAGCAGCAAACAACATAATACAAGAACTACACACTCTCGTTTCATAATGTCCATGGGAAAATAATCTGCATTTTCAAATATACAATTATTATATAGTTCTGTTATATTCATTATACATTATGATGAGAAATTTAGTATATATTAGATCGGAAGAAAGAAAGAACGAACTTTTTAAGATTTTAGTTTGAAGTCACGAAGTATTAAAAACATTCTGTTTCATACCTATGCTAAATCTAACAATTAAATGAAATATAACGATTAAAAAAATCATTGCAAATGTTTTGATATAGACATCAGTTGAATTAAAAAAAATTCCCTCTACCACTCCACGCCAAACAAAGAAAATAATCTAGAGAACTAAGAATTATTTCAACTTACAGTGATAAAACTTAACACGGTAAGTAATGATATTTTTGAAATGTTCAACATCAACACTATTTATAGTATAAAACTAAGCTTAAAATTGAATTAGAATGACTAAATTGGAATATATTTTAGGCAAATCAAACAAGGATTAGGGAATTGATTAGATATATTAGAATGAGGAATTAACTCTATAGGAGGATGAATAGTAATTTAATTAGATAAGAGAATGAGTTTAAATATTTTGTTTAATTTCCTAGTAATTAAATTAAAAAATATATGTATTCAAATGTTTGATATGATAAACTGATTGTTTTAGCAATTACGAAATATATTACTCCACCATATTTGCTAAGAATGATTTTCTTCTTAAGTAGCTAATATTATTATGAAATTCAAAATCATTGTTAAAATATATATTTTTGCTACATAATGAATTATTCAAACTACCTTATTTTTTTAATAAAATATCTAAACATATTTGCTACTTTAATTCATAAAATTTGTTATATTAAATATTTAAATTTATTTATATCGGCCCGCACGAGTCTAGTACTAATTCTATAAAAATATATCTTAAATTAGTTACTTCTATGGAAATTACTAAAGATTAGGAAATTGATTAGATGATAGATAAAGGAATCAATTAGATATGAGCAGGATTAGGGAATTAATTGGATAAGATGTTAGTTTTAATATTTTATTTTCTGGTAACTGAATTTTAAAACTATTCCAATGTTTTATATCATAAGGTGAATTTGAATATCTTACCAAATGTGAAATATTATATATTTGTTAAGAATAATTTATTTTTTATCAAGCAAGGTCACCTCTTAAATTTTGAACATCATTTGACAAAATATATTTTTGGTATATAAATTATTCTAAATACGTTAATCTATAAAATCTAAACATATTAACTACTTTAATTCATAAAAAATTTTATGATTAAATATTTAAATTTATTTATATCGGCCGCACGAGTACTAGTACTAATTCTATAAAAAGTATATTTTAAATTAGTTTATTAGTGTGGAAATCACTAAATAATAAGGAATTGATTAAATAATAGATAAAGGCATCAATTCTCGTCGATTATACAATTTTTCATTTCATTCTTGAATCTTGATGTTGTAAATAAATTATAATTAAGAACAGATCAGGATATTGTATCAAAGGAATATATATTTCTATTTATTTACCTTTTTAGTGCTTGGATATTTGATTAAATTTCCACTTTTAACCTCCTGAGAAAATTATTTTACTGATGATATGTTGTATGCCCATAACTCAGTGGCTATTGGCATATACTATATAAACTAAAATGATTAAACAAGTTGAATTGGGACAACTAGCTAGGTTTTACTGATATTTGATCGAAATATGTTTGCGTCAACATGTTGACAATAATAGAAAAAGAGTCATTCTTTCATTTAATTTTTGAATTCGTCATAACATTATTTATAGATTTGTATGACCAATAATAGTCTTATGCAGCAGTAAATTTGTAAGTCAATGATAATTTCTCATCACTTTCAGCCATGGGTGTAACTGTCAAATTGTGGTGAAAGGACGAATCCGTTATGGAAGGATGAGTAACAATGGCCTTATAATCCCCATGAAATAGTGAAGTCTCGAAATAACCCTCGGCGTTTGTAGTCCCAATCAAACCCTCATGGGATAAACTCGTACGAGCTTTGTCCACAACATCACCAGTGGGTAGATTTTTGAAATTGTTATCAGTTAAACACATTCTGAAACATCCATTTGGTTTCCATGCTGACCAAATTATCAACCCTTGAACTGCTGGGTGTGCAATTATCTCCTTTATAACTTGATCTAACACTTGTGCCTGCCAAAAGGGGAAAAAAACTGTTACCAACTATTATGGAATATATATTGTGTATTTCATTGACGTAATTTAATCAATTTACCTGATTTTGCTCTGGTCTAACATCCAACTCAGTGATCCACATGGGCAATTTCGCAGAAGCTAGTGTATCGAGTCCGGCCCTGATATAAGGTATGGACGGAGCACCAAAATGTCCTTCTAATCCAATTCCAAGAGTACCTGCGTACCCTCCTGTTCTCACTTGTTTTATCATACTAAGATAATTAGCTGGTGATGATTGTCCGTCACTTGGCACTTCTATGGTATTATAATCGTTCAAAAACAGAGGTGTTTTGTTATCAAATTGTGAAGCCAGACGATAAAAGGTAGCAGATGCACTTGGACCAAGTTTACTCTCGAAGAATTTGAAGTGAAGATTTTCATTCATGACATCCCAATGAAGAAGTTGGCCTTTATATTTCCTAACAACGGATGCAACCCTTTTTCCAGCAGCAACAGAGAGTTGTTGTGGAGACAATGCAGGGACCCAATTTGGCTGAAATTTTTGGTCGTCCCAAAGAACATTTTGGCCTCGGATACTAACACCTTTGCTCTTGCATAAATTGACCATCGCATCAGAAGTTGAGTAGTCTACTTTGCCTTGAGTATTTTCATTACTGTACCATTTCATTTCATCTTCAAATACCGTGTACTTGAATCTCGAGAAGAACCAATTTTGGTAAGCATTATTGTTGAGAATGTTCTTGTTGATTGCACAACCAAATGGGAAATTGGCTCTTGCTTGTATCAATGAGATTGTCGCATTAGGTAAAGCCTTGCCTTGCGAGTCCACTACTTGAACTGCCACTTTGCTTTTGCGTACCTACATAGTATTACAAGAAATGAAATCGAACAAATATATAAAGTGAAAAAGAGCATAGAGTAACAATTTTTCAAATTAATTGGTAAGTTCTATTGTGTACCTTTTCAATGGTTTGAGTTTGATGGGATGTCCACTCTTCTTGGCTAAATGGTTGTACTGAAATATTGTCTATCCATATGTCAACTACTGTATTATTAGTCTGGGAAAAGGAAAAAGATTGAAAATATCATTATTCATATGATAAACACCAAGCGATTACAAAAATGGTAACTAGTCAAATAGATTTGATCAATAAGGGAAATTAATAAATTTCATCACCTCAAAATAGAGTTGAGCAGGACCAGAAACATTGACAACTAAGCCACCCTTAAACATAGACCAACAACCAGACTTAGCATTAGCCCAAGCAGCATGTTGATAACCACTTTGTGTCTTGAAAATGACTGCTACAGTGGCATCATCACCATGGTTCACTTGTACCCATCCTTTAAAATTAAACATAATATATTAGAAAAAATTGATCTAAATCGTCAGAAAATTGATATATTTGTACCTGAAACTATGTAGAACTTGTCTTTGTCCAATTGAAACTCTTGTGAAAACCCATGATACGGTCCTTTCCTCTCTGAGGCAACAATGAATTTATTTCCATCGCTCGAAATATTGTTCTCAACTTTAGCAACTCCAAAAACAGCCCATCCATTTAATCCATCATTAAATTCTGGATTTGTCACGATCCCTCCATTATATTGAGGTTTAAGAGGAGTTTTCAAACACTGAAATACAAATTAAGAGCCATAAAAAATAATTAGTATACGATAAGCTAAGCAACAAGAGAAAAAAAAAAGTGAACAATATGAAATTATGCCTCCGCTGAAAAACTATAGTCATAATCTAGCGCATGGACTTCAAAACCTGTCAAACATAAAAATAAAATCATAAGATAACACAAACTTGTTTTACTAAAGAAAAAAAAATTCAAAATATTTATTCAGACATACATGAAAAAAAGGTATTTTGTTTTTCTAAAATTATTATACAAACCTATCGAGATGAACAGCAAACAACATAACACAAGAACTGCACACTCTCGTTTCATGATGTCCATGGAAAAATAATCTGCATTTTCAAATACACAATTACTATATAATCCTGTTATATATATTATGATGAAAATAAAAAAAAATGTATGATGCAAAATTTAGTACATGTAAGATCGCAAGAAATAAAAAAAGAATTGAAGTTACAAAAGTATTAAAAACATACCATTTCATATGTATGCTAAATCTAACAATTTAATCAAGTATAATGATTAAAAAAATCATTAGAAAAGTTTTGATATAAAACATCAGTTGAGTAAAAAAAAATTCCCTCTACCACTCCCCTCCAAACAAAGAACTAGAGAACTAAGAATTGTTTTTTAACTTACAGTGTTAAAAATGAAGTAATGATATTTTTGATGTTCAACATCAACACTATTTATAGTGTAAAACTAGGCTTAAAATTAATTTGAATGACAAAAACGGAAAATATTTTAGGCAAATCAAACAAGGATTAGGGAATTGATTAGATATAATAAAATGAGGAATTAACTCGATAGGAGGAAGAATAGGAATTTAATTAGATAAGAGAATGAGTTCGAATATTTTGTTTAAAAATGATATTCTTCTTATTTAGGTGATAGTATTTCTGAAATTCAAAATCATTGCTAAAATATATTTTTGCTAGACAGTGAGTTATTTCAAATGCCTTATTCTATGAAGTATCTAAACATTTTTGCTACTTTAATTCATAAAATTTGTTAGGATTAAATATTTAAATTTATTTATATCGGCCGCACGCTAGACTAATTCTATAAAAAAATATTTTAAATTAGTAACTTGTATGGAAAACACTAAAGAATAGGGCATTAATTAGATAATAGATAAAGGAATCAATTAGATATGAGGGGGATTGGGAAATTAACTGGATAAGATGTTACGTTTGAATATTTTATACTTGGTAACTGGATTTAAAACTATTTAAATGTTTCATAAGGTGAATTTGAATATTTTAGCTAATGCGAAATATTACATATTTGTTAAGAATAATTTTATCTTTTATCAGGCCACATCACCTTTTAAATTTTGAATATCATTGCCAAAATATACTTTTGCGACATAATGAATTATTCCAAATACCTTAATCTATAAAATATCGAAACATGTTTGCTACTTTAATTCATAAAATTTGTTATGATTAGATTAAATTTAATTATATCGAGCGCACGAGTACTAGAACTAATTCTATAAAAATATATTTTAAATTAGTTTTTCGTATGGAAATTATTAAAGATTAGGGAATTGATTAGATAACAGATAAAGGAATCAATTAGATATGAGGACGATTATGGAATTAATTGGATAAGATGTTACGTTTGAATATTTATTTTTTGATAATAGAATTTAAAACTATTAAAATGTTTTATATTATAAGGTGAATTTAAATATGTTAGTAAATGCGGAATATCATATATTTGTTAGCAATGATTATCTTTTTATGAGGTGATCACCTCTTAAATCTTGAATATCATTGTCAAAATATATTTTTGCTACATAATAAATTGTTTCAAATACCCTATTCTATAAAAGTCTAAACAAACAGGTTAGAGCCTATTAAAATTTTGAATGACATTATAACTTATGACTCAGAGGTTGGGATTCTGTCTGTATAGACTTATAACTTTTGATTATTGAATTATTTTTGTCTCTTTAATTTAAAATAAATATATATTTTTTATTTATTCGAACACTACATAAAAAATTTAAAAGTTATTTTGACTTAATGATACAATTTCATTTCGTTCTTAATCGTGATGTAATTGTAAACCAATTATTTTATTTAGCAATAGAAAAGGATCTTGTATCAAAGATATATATTTCTATTTTTTTACCTTTGTATGCTTTGATATTTGACGAATCTTTCACTTTTAGCTTCTTGAGGAAATGGTTTTACTGATATCTTGTAATGCCCATAGGCCATAACTCGATGGCTATTTGGCTAGATGTATTGTTGGCCTATACTATATAAAAGAAAAAAAAGTGAAAATGATTAAACAAGTTGAATTAGGACAAACTAGTTAGCCATCACAATTTGTTCAAAAAATTATTTATACTTTTATTGAAAAGAGTGCTAAAATATACTATATATATAACTAACCTCAAATACCTGAAGTACTGAGTCGAGATAGGCAAAACAATGATCAATATAACACACCACACTCTTACATAATTTCATTTAGGTAATTTTTCCAATCAGAGCTATATATAACTAATAAATGAAGTACTTATTTTAGAAAATATTATGTAAGGCATCTCAAAATATGTTTGCGTTAACATGTTGATAATAATAAAAAAAAGAGTTGTTCTTTCATTCAACTTTTGTATTCATAAGATTATTTATAGATTTACTATACATATACTCCCTATGGTCTTTTATAGTCTTATGCAGCGGTAACTTTGTAATAATTTCTCATCACTTTCAGCTGTGGGCGTAACTGTCAAATTATGGTGAAAGAACGAATCAGGCATGGAAGTATGAGTAATAATGGGTTTATAATCTCCATGGAATAATGAAGTCTCGAAATAACCCTCGGCATTTGTAGTCCCAATCAAACCCTCATGTGATAAAGTTGCACGAGCTTTGTCCACAACATCACCAGTGGGTAGATTTTTGAAATTGTTATCAGTTAAACACATTCTGAAACATCCTTTTGGTTTCCATGCTGACCAAATTATTAATCCTTGAACTGCTGGGTGTCCAACTATCTCCTTTATAACTTGATCTAACACTTGTGCCTGCCAAAAGGGGAAAAAAACTGTTACCAACTATTATGTAATATATATATTGTGTATTCATTGACGTAATTTAATCAATTTACCTGATTTTGCTCTGGTCTAACATCCAACTCAGTGATCCACATGGGCAATTTTGCAGAAGCTAGTGTATCGAGTCCGGCCCTGATATAAGGTATGGACGGAGCGCCAAAATGTCCTTCTAATCCAATTCCAAGAGTGCCTGTGTATCCTCCTGTTCTCACTTGTTTTATCATATTAAGATAATTAGCTGGTGATGATTGTCCGTCACTTGGCACTTCTATGGTATTATAATCGTTCAAAAACAGAGGTGTTTTGTTATCAAATTGTGAAGCCAGATGATAAAAGGTAGCAGATGCACTTGGACCAAGTTTACTCTCGAAGAATTTGAAGTGAAGATTTTCATTCATAACATCCCAATGAAGAAGTTGGCCTTTATATTTCCTAACAACGGATGCAACCCTTTTTCCAGCAGCAACAGAGAGTTGTTGTGGAGACAATGCAGGGACCCAATTTGGCTGAAATTTTTGGTCGTCCCAAAGAACACTTTGGCCTCGGATACTAACACCTTTGCTCTTGCATAAATTGACCATTGCATCAGAAGTTGAGTAGTCTACTTTGCCTTGAGTATTTTCATTACTGTACCATTTCATTTCATCTTCAAATACCGTGTACTTGAATCTCGAGAAGAACCAATTTTGATAAGCATTGTTGTTGAGAATGTTTTTGTTGATTGCACAACCAAATGGGAAATTGGCTCTTCCTTGTATCAAAGAGATTGTCGCATTAGGTAAAGCCTTGCCTTGCGAGTCCACTGATTGAATTGCCACTTTGCTTTTGCGTACCTACGTAATATTACAAGAAATGAAATCGAACAAATATATAAAGTGAAGAAGAGCATAGAGTTGTAAACTTTTCAAAGTTCAATTTTGTACCTTTTCAATGGTTTGAGTTTGATGAGACGTCCACTCTTCTTGGCTAAATGATTGTACTGAAATACTGTCTACCCATATGTCAATTTCCGTATTATTGGTCTAGGAAAAAGAAAAGATGGAGAATAACTAATTAACGATATTCATGTAATCAAGTTTATTATTATAAATATGATTAATGATATCGATAACTAATTTCTTTTTTTACCTCAAAATAGAGTTGAGCAGGACCAGATGCATTGACAACTAAACCACCCTTAAACATAGACCAACAACCACATTTAGCAATCCCCCAAGCAGCATGTTGATAACCACTTTGCGTCTTGAATATAACTGCTACATTGGCATCATCGCCATGATTCACTTGTACCCATCCTAGAGATTAAATATATCTCGTTTGTCATTCATCAATACTTGAACTAAAAATTAATCAGACGAATATATAAGATATGTATATACAATTCACGCTTATAATTGTTGAGAGTAGTACCAGAAATCACATAGAACTTGTCTTTTTCCAATTGAAACTCTTGTGAGAAACCATGATATGGTCCTTTTCTCTTTGAGGCGACGATGAATTTATTTCCATCATTTGCAACGTTGTGTTCAATTTTAGCATCCCCGGAAAGGGTCCATCCAGTTAATCCGTCATTAAATTCTGGATTTACCACTATTCCTCCATTATATTGAGGTTTAAGAGGGCTTTCTAAACACTACATACATAAATAAAAAGATCATGACAAATGATCAGTAATTAGTTAGCTAATCAACGAGACAATATATTTAAGTAAATTTTTCTATTCTTGTAAATGGCTTAAAGCAGAAAAAAAATTATATATATACCTCGGCCGTATAACTGTAGTCATAGTCCTTCGCATAAACTTCAAAACCTGCCAATCATATAACAATCGAGTCATAAAGTAACATATGTCATAAAAAATGTATAAAAACTTCGAAACTATTTTTCTTCGTACCAAACAGACTTAAATGGAAAAAAGGAGGAGATACAAACCTATTGAAGCAAGCAGTAAATAATATGACACTAGAACTAGAACTTGTATTTTCATGATATCCACAGCAAAATAGTCTGCATTTACAAATAGATAATTACTATGAGGAGAAAATTAGTGTAATTTAATATCTAAATCTAACAATTATATAAATCACAAATAAATGATAGGGAAAATTTTGATGTAAACATTAGTTGAGTAAATAAATTCCTTGTACTGTTCCTCTCCTTATTGGGAACTAAGAATTACTAATAAATTACATTTACCTTGAGATGGTGTTAAAATGCAAGTAATGATATGCATAAGTGTTCAACTTCAGTATTATTTATAGTGTGTAAGAGTTCACAAGGCTTAAATTGATGAAGTATTTGAATCAACTATATTTCCCTTTCGGTAATTGTAAGTCAAATATTTTCAAACTAACTAGTTTATTAGGCTTAAATACAATTGATTGCGAATGAAAATCAATTATTTTTTTTACTTTTTTGGGGGATTCAAAGTCAAAGATTTTTAAGTCTTATTAAGGTATATTTTAAGATTAGTTAATTTGTGTACATGTATGTCTTTAAATTTTGACCAATTACTAATTATTATCGTGATTCCAACTCTTGAGGAAATGGACAAACCTAAATATTTTTCTGAATCAAAATAATAAATGGAATTTGATTGTTTAAGCCTTAAGGTATATCTATATTAAGTTCTACAACCTTAGCCATAATTTTTTTTCATTTTTTTGAAAATTTAAATTCCAAATCAGACCTCTTTTTAGCTCACGACATAAGTGTTTACTCTATTTTAAATTGATCCCAATTTTTTGTTTATAATTAAAAAAGAAAAAAGGGAAAACTTTTTTAGTTACATTGTATTTGATCAAATTAAATTCCTAAGTATAATTATGCATTAATAACTTGTGAGTGTGGATTTATAAAACAATTTCGCTAAGTTATAGTGAAATTTCTCACCAACGTAACACTCATATATGCGTATTAGATACCATTTTAAAGCAACAAAGTTTTATTTTGTAAAACTATAAGTTACACAATAATCATAATATCATTATAATTTTTTTTTAAAAGAATCTAATTTGGTTGTTTAGATGTGCGTATTTAACTTTCAATTAATTAAAATATATATTTTTTGGACCCCTTTATACGAGAAAATATCAAATAAGATATAACAATATAAATTTAATATAACACAATGATAATTCATTACGTTTTATGAAAATTCAGGTAGAAGGATTCAAAAAAGCATATATAAAACAATTAAAGATAAAAATCTGCTTAACTAGAAATTTATTGCGCACACACCATTACGCCAATATCAAATTAAATTTATCTATTAGAACCAAAATCAATACTTAATTTAGAGTAAATAGTGTCAAACAAAAATTGTGTAATGTGAATTTTCCTTTGTTTCATCCTTTTGTGCTTCCACTTTAAGTTTCTGAGTCATCAAGGCATATGTTTGTTTTTCATGATGATTGATTTCAACTTGATATTCTCCATGAAAAAGTGAAGTTTCAATAATGCCATTTTCATTAGTAGTACCAGAAAAACCTTGATGACTCCATTCTTTAATAATCTTATCAACAATATCTCCAGTAGCCAAATTCTTGAAATTATTATCAGTCAAACACATTCTATAACATCCTTTAGGACCCCATGGTGCCCATATCATTATTCCTTTCAATCCTGGATGTGCATGAACCTCCCTTATGATTTCTTCCAAATATACCTCCTGTCCAATTTTAAAGATTAATTTCATGTATGATTACTGAATTTTATTCACAAAAACAAATTACAAATTATTATGTATAATTCATGTCAATATAATATAGGCCAAATCTTTTACAGTTGTTATCAAAAAAAATAAAATAGGCCAAACTCATAAACAAATTTCTAAATTTGTTGGGTTTTTCTCCTCAGGTATTTCAACTACGTCATTTTCCTATTGAATAATTGAACCACTCATAATTTGTTCCTTTTAAACACCGTTGGCTGATTTTGATTGACTTTTCTGTTGTAAATGTCTTCAGTTGTGTTTGTATAGTAATGATTTTGATTGCACGAATGAAGACAAACTATGTGTTAGTCTCTTTTTTCCTAACGTGTTCAAATGACAACACAATTATTTTCAAATATTTTCACTGTCAATTGGACTAATGAGTTTTGGAACAACATATGTATCCTCTATCAATACCTCTCGTTAAATTTGGTCCTACATCAGCCAACAGTATTTCAAAGAAACAAATTATATACGGGGGTTGAATGATTCAATAGGAAAATAGCATAGTTAAGATACTTGAGGGAAAACTACCAACAACTTTAGAGATCTGTTTATGTATTTGGCCTGTAATAAATGTATAATCAGTATCGGTTGAAAATCGTAAACAGTGAAATTATGCAAAAGACTTGAAAATTACCTGATTGGTGGTGTTTGCAACATCTAACTCAGTGATCCAAATTGGTAATCCAGCTGAAGCAAGCATATCAAGAGAAGATCTTATATAAGGTAAATTTGGTTTGACAAAATGCCCCTGCACCCCAATTCCCAACGGTCCATTATAACCGTGGGATCGAAGATCTCGAATTTTTTCCAAGTACTTTGCTGGATTTGAAGTTCCATCAAATCCATGTTCAATTGTATTGAAATCATTCAAGAATGGAATAGCCCTGCTATCGATTTCATTAGCCTTCTTGTAATAAACAGCAGACGCATTTTTCCCCAGTATGTTCTCTAAAAATGAAAAATGGACGTTTTCGTTCACAACATCCCAGTGCATAAGTTGGCCTAAGTATTGATTCATCACCGAATTTATCCTTCTCGATGCAGCTGCAGCGAGCTGTGCTGGTGAAAGAGAACGCGTCCACGAGGGCATGTTCAGGAGGTTGTTCCAGAAAATGTTGTGGCCGCGGACTTGAATGTTATGTTTTTGGACAAGACTAAGCATGGCATCCGCCATGTTGTAGTCCTGTTTGCCCTGGATTTTCTCGTTGGCATACCATTTCATTTCATTCTCGAAAACCGTGTACTTGAATCGTGATGTAAACCAATCTTGATAGGCTTTATTGTTGAGGATATGTTGGCTTATTGCATTGCCAAATGGGAAATTGTTCTTTTGTTGTGCCAGGGAGACCGTTGCGTTTGGTAATGGTTGGCCATGAGAATCCACTGCTTGGATTTTCACTTTAGCTTTACGTATCTGCAACGTGTTATTATTACAGATTTTTGTAAATACATATACAGAATTTGAAACAAAGTAATTGATTTATGTGAATTCATGACTTTTAAGCTAGATCCAACCCACAGTAAATAAAATTTTACTCGAGTCATTTACCTTCTCTGTACTTTGATGTTGATGAAATTTCCATTCCTCTTGGGAAAATGGTTTTACTGATATGCTATCTGCCCATAACTCAATAGCTGTATTGTTGGCCTAGAAATAAATACAAGTGAAAATAATTAAACAAAGTTGAATTTAGTATAACTAGGAAATAAGAATCATACATTGCTTGTTCAAACAATTTATTGCAAGTTTAACTGTACACGCTCAAAGATGGACGGTATTAGATGTTAACTAATATTAAGTTAAAACGCACGTTTGTGTATTACATCTCTTTTTTTTTGAATATAAAAGGTAAAAAAATAACTCACCTCAAGATATAAGTCCACATGAGCTGAAGTAGTTAGTATTATTAAGCCACCTTTTAGCATAGACCAGCAGCCAGAACGAGCAATAGCCCATCCAGTACGTTGAATTCCAAGTGGTCCTCTGACTGCTAGAGCCACATGAGCGTCTATTATTCCATCTGCATGGCTCACTTGCACCCAAGCTGCAAATTATACGAGTGTCAAATGAGCGGATTAAAATTTATTGAGTAAGTAAAAATTATATCATAGTACCTGAAGTGACGTAGTAAGTATCTTTTTTCAAGAAATATTTTTGGGTAAAACCATGAAGGGGTCCTTTTCTGTTAGTAGCCACAATGAAAGTGTTATTTGTATTATTGGACATCCTAGTGGCTATATTTGCAAATCCAGATTTTCTCCAGCCATTGAGTCCCTCATTGAAGTTTGGATTCACAACTATTCCTCCGTTGTATTGAGCACTAAGGGGATCTGCTAAACACTGGAAGCATATGCATGGTAATTTTGTATTAATATTTGTAAAACACAATCGAGCGAGTCACCTATTACAACAATTTTTTTTTTTGCGTCAATATTATTACAAGAAGTTAAATTACACTTAATTAGTATAAAAATATTTATACTATTGGTGTATGTAATTTGAAATCGTATATTTAGAAATTCCAGAATTCAAAAAATCTTCCAGGTTTATAAATAAAATATTACTGCCTAGGGTGGGAAAGCGTTTTACCTCAGATGTGAAACTATAGTCATAGTCTTCACCACAAACTTCAACCCCTAAAAAAATGAGAAAGTTGATATATATAATTCATATAAAAGGTTTTGAAATAATGTTTAATTATCAACAAGGCTAGGCTTAATTACGAACCTGAACAACAAACAAGAAAAAAAATCACCAGCCAAGGTAAAAAATGTTCCATCTTCACAGTTTCCATGCATGCGTTGTTTTATAAAAAAAATTGTAGGGATTATTATTGCGAGTTGTTGGACTAAGCTATAATCAATGCATGCATATTTATAGGTAAAACCTGCAAAGTTTGGTATGTATTAAGTATACTATCAAATTAATAGGTAAAAATTATTTAGTACAGCTAGCTAATTGTATCATTAGTATTTAAAGATTCTGAGTCAATACTATGTTTGACACGAATTAAACAATTTCAAGACGACGTTTGATTCTTCTGCTAAATTCAAATATTAGAGTAATTGACTGTTAATAATTCTTAATTACTTGTGGAAATTAAGGAAATAAACAAAACTTGTTCATTGTTTGGGTCACATGCATGCAAATGCGGTCTATCAAGGGCATGTAATTAAATTTAATTATATGTGAAAACACGGTTATCCTTCAACTTGAATTTGATGGTAAATGTCATTGTCTAGTTTTTGCTATTTTAAAACATTAAGATACTAATATCATAATAATGGAGTAATCTTAAAGTTATTCGATGGTAGGGTAAAATGAGGTGCGCCGTAAGTTGGTCTGAATATCATAAAAATAACAATAGTATCATGTTTTAATGCATAGTTTGAGTGCTGTTTGTAATTTCTATTCAGTTTAATACATTTTTTCCCTCGTTATGATTACTTATAAAGATTTTCTGAATTTAAATTATATACGCTATTTACATATAAAATATATTACTAGATCA